CACTGCAGAAAACAGTCCACCACACCAAAATGTTTCTTACGCCACGCTCCTGCACACTCCACATTTCCTGGAGGAGCTATCCCACGTCACAGAGTTATCCATGACTCTGGAAAAATGTTTCTCTCTATACCCTGCCTTTCAAAAAACAAAGTGCATGTTGGGGCGGAGGGGGGTGGTATTCAGTCTGTGAAAAAATACAGTATTTATCTTGAAATATCTGTATCCACACTAGGGAGGGACACATACCATTTAACCTAGATGAGTGGCTTTAACACAATGCACCCTTTACATATAAACCATCCCTCAGCCTATTAATACAGACTTGGCTGAGGCAATAATGCAGCCACTGGATGACACCGTGACAGCCAGATGAATAAAAGCATGGCACTCAGGACATACATCAAAACTACCAAACATCTCCCTGCTGCCGTGGAGCTGGACTGGCCAACAGAGCACTTTTGAAATGCCCCCAAATGCAGGGTCGTAACAGGCAACCGCAGGGATGCTCCTACAGCGCAAACCCCCTGGCACGGATATGAAGGAAACCAACAGATGACAGACGAGGCATTGGCCTGCCCACACCTGGGGGAACCTCGCACCTAGGAAGCCCTCACTCAGGCTACAGATGGAGCAAGAGCATGGGCCTGCTTTGGGGCTCCAACTTGAGCAAGGTGCCAGGACACGGGCTGCCAGGGAGATGAGGGTCGGGCAGTGTTTGTGGCTGCGGGCGCCAGCCCTTCTGCCTGCAGCTGCACTAGGTGTGTGATCCCCCGGGTGCAGGGCACTGGGGGATAGGAGGGGGAGGGGCCTTCACTCAGGCTACAGATGGAGCAAGAGCATGGGCCTGCTTTGGGGCTCCAACTTGAGCAAGGTGCCAGGACACGGGCTGCCAGGGAGATGAGGGTCGGGCAGTGTTTGTGGCTGCGGGCGCCAGCCCTTCTGCCTGCAGCTGCACTAGGTGTGTGATCCCCCGGGTGCAGGGCACTGGGGGATAGGAGGGGGAGGGGCCTCCTGCCCCACAGCCCTGTGCCCACCCCGGCT